ATATATAATATTTGTCTTATATAGAAAATATATGATAAAACTTAATTGATAAATTAGGGACAGTAAGCAATTCATAAAAATAATAATATAAATAATTATGGCAATATAATGTAATAAAAGTTATGTTTATGAGGCCTAAATTTTAAAATATTTTCATTATATTAATTACTGTTCATAAAAATGACCTGAGTTGACATAATACCTGTGAGATGAGTGACCTAGGCTTTGCGACATGGTGTTAGTGTACTATTTGTTGGCTTTCCAACAATAAGACAAAAGTGAGTCATTAAGGCATAAAGATGCTGCTTGATCAGAGGAAATTAACACTGCCGAATATGAAATAGCTGATGAAAGACCATTACTCTAATTATTTAAGAAAGCTCAATAAAATACTATAAAACACCTGTATACAAATAAAATCAGAAAAGCAATGCATAAATAAAATGATAATTTCAAAGAGGAAGAGGAATTATGAAAAATCAAGCAGAAATTCTACGCTGCAGTGTACAATTTCTGAACTGAAAAGTGAAATAAAAAGAATCAACCGCAAACTTTATCAAGTTAAAGGAATGATCTGTGAACTTTTAGATGGTTCATTTGAAATAACCCAAAAGAGAAAACAAAATTAAATAAATAAATAACATATAAAATGATAAACTTTGCATTGTGGAAGTTCTAGTAAGGAATAAAGAAAAGGATGCAAAACCTAATTAAAGAAAGAAATTGCTGGACAGTTCCAAATTTTTGGACGGATAGATATATAGAGCTTTAATATCTTCAATCATGCTTAACTCTAAAAAGACTTTACTGAATTGAATCAAATGATCAATAAGGTGCTATTTTCTTTTTTCGTATGTTACCTCTTATTTATTTTTTCTTTCATCCTGAGCTATAGTTGTACCTTTGTTCATGGCCTTAATTCTTTCCATGAATCTTGTCACAAACCGAATTGGTCATGAACCAAATCAATTTAAGTAGTTAAGTTCAATGTTGTTCTTGAAGGGAAATTGGGTTTGGTTTGCAACCAGTCCAGTTTGAGACAAAAAGCATGGAAAGAATTAAGGTCATAAACAGAGGAACCGGGGTATTTTATTTTATCCTTCTTCCTTTGTCATTCATAAATTCTCTACATCAAAGTCTACTCTTCATCAGTACTATTCATTGCCTTCCAGGAATATTGAAAGAGTGAAATTTTAAAAATAAATTTTAAATAATATAATTGGCATATAGTTGTTTCTATAGCTTATGATTTAACTGATAAATTTTCTCTGTTTGCAACACTGTGATCAATACTGATCTTATGACACTGAGTAATTTGAATAGATACAGGAACACCAGTTCACAACCAAAGCCGCAGTAATATGAGGAGACACACACTTACTAAATAGATTAGTTATATTAGTCATATATTTTTATAGGCAAGACAATCTGCATATTTTAGCACAATGAAATAGAAACATGAGAAAACAAGATGCCTTTAAATCCTCAAAGGCTGATCTCAAAGTCACCAATATAGAGGAAGTTTCAGAAAAGAACTAAGAAAAGCCACCAAATTGTTATGCATAGACTCTTCAGTGAGCTCAAAGATAATGACTGGAATAAGAACACTAGTCAGACAGGATTGTGTATCTGAAAATTCAATAGTTTCTTTTTTTTGGGGGGGGGGTTGGTTTTTTTGGTTTTTCTCCGCTACCGGGAACCGAACTCACGACCTTGCACTTGCCAGGCAGGTGCTTTTGCCGCTGAGCTAAATCCCCAGCCCAAAAATTCAATAGTTTCAATGAGCTGCTTTAAAGAATTTCAATCTACTTGAAGAAAAATAGAGAAATGACTCACTACTTCATTTGAAATATCACAGATGGAAGTGACCTTAAAAATCAAACAGTTCTTGAGCATAAAATACAATAAGAAAAATTAGAAATGCAATGCAAAAAAGACAAAATTGACCAGTGTGTACTCATCTCAGATGCCTATTTTTGAATTGTTTTTAAATTTGTGGATGTAATTTTATTACATCTCACTCCACAAAGAATGACGATTATCAAGAAATCAACCAATAATAAATGCTGATGGGTTGTGGGGAAAAAGCAACCCTTCTCCACTCTTGGTGAGAGTGTAGACTGGTGCAACCACTATGGAAATCAATACGGATATTACTCCAAAAAAGTAGAATTAAAGCTCCCATTTACCCAGCTATTTTCTTTCTGAGTGTCTTCCTGGAAGAATTAAAAACATCATAACACAGCGATATATGTGCACCCATGTTTTTAGCAGCACAATTTGTAATAGCTAAATCTTGGAAACAACCAAAATGCCTATCAGCTGTATAATGGATAAAAAGATGTGGTTTTTTATACAATGGGGTGGAAAACAACCATAAAGAATGATAAACTTGTGGCTTTTATAATTAAATGGGTGCAATCTGAGACCATATTCTTAAGTGAAATAAATCACACTCACATCTTAAACATCATATTGCTTCCCTGGTGTGAGAAACTGAAAGAGTAAATAAGAACCAAAATGCGCAATGGATACTGTGAAATGGGAAGAATTTTTTTCTAAAGGAAAACAGAACTAGGGTGTGAGCAAGGGGAATGAAAAGAAGGGAAAACAAAAAGTCCCCAAAAAACAGAATGTGAGATAGGTGTACTACAAGTTTCTCTTGCTTCACTGAAAAGAAATGCTTGTGCTAACATCAATTGGAGATATTTTTATGCCCATATCCTGTACTCTGAGTAGCTACTTAAAATATCACAATACACATTGTATTAACAATTGTTATTCTCCCATTATTTTGTTATAAAATTTTGTTTTATTTTTTCCATTAAAAAATTCTAGGATTAGAGGTCTCATTTGACCCAACTCTTCTTCTTCTTCCTATATTCCCAAAGAACTAAAAGAATCATCCCACAGTGATATATGTGCAACCATGTTTATAGCAGCAATTTGTAACAGCTAAATCTTGGAAACAACCCAAATACACATCACCCAATAAATGGATAAAAAAGATGTAGGGTTTTTTATGCAATGGTGCACTACTCAGCCATAAAGAAGGATAAGCTTGAGACATTTCCAGGTAAATTGACGCAACTTCAGTTGGTACACTTAAATGAAATAAATCAGACACACGTGAAAATATGGCATTGCTTCTCTGGTGTGAGATACTAAAATTGTACATAAGGACCAAAGTCTATAAAAGGTATTGTGAAATAGGAAGAAATTGTTCAGAAGAAGTGGAAACTAGAGGGATGGAGGTGGAAAGGAAGGAAAGGAAAAGAATTGAAAGTTACAAAAGAAAAGTAAAATTGAAACAAAGCTTTGTAAATAAAGAGGGGAAGAAGGATTGAAGGAAAGAGAAGAGATAGGGAAAAAAAGAGGAATCAGGTTATATCATGTACAGGTACAAATTCCCTATGATGAATGTGATAATTATCCATATCTAAATTGTACTAAGAAACTAAAATAGTAATAATAATCCTAACTCCTATAATGAAAACCAATAATGCACCAATTAAATTATTCAAAATAGCTCAAAGAAATGAGAATCAATCTAATGTTCATAGATAGGGAGACTCAATACTGCTAAAATGTGCATGATATCCAAAGCAATCTATACCTTCCATGCAATTGTCAGCAAGATACCAATTGCACTACTATAAACCATTCTAAAATTTGTATGAGTTCACAAAATCTCATATATGCAAAATCCTCTAGATTAACAATAACAAAACAGGAGATATTATATTACCTGATTGCAAAATGTACTACAAAGATCCACTAATCAAAAAAACGTTCTACTGTCAGAATATTGTGCTGTCAGAACAACATTGCGCTGTCACTGGAAGGCAAAAAAGAGCATAGAAGTAAACAACTGTTTTTTAGTGTAAATTCCTAGGACATTCTTTGGAGAAAGACAGACTTTGCCATAAATGCTGAGAGAACTGGATGTCCACATGCACAAGAGTAAATACAGACACCTATTTATAACCACTCGTAACACTTAACTCTAAATGAATAAAGAGTTTAAGAAATAAAACTATTAGAAAAACTGAAGATAATGAAGGCAAGAATTTTGAAAAGAGATATTTCCATCCTGTTGTAAGAATTCAAATAACTATAGATATTATAGAAAAACTATGCCAAAAATTGGAAAAAAGAAAACTGTATAATCCACCAATTCCACTGCTGAATATATATCCAAAAGAAAAGAAATCATCACGTGGAAGAGACATCTCCTTCATTTATTGAAGCACTATTTTGTGGAAGAGAAAGACTACTTCCTGTAGCAGCAATATTCATGATAGCCAAAAAATAGAAATAATCCATGGGTACATCACCTAATAAATAGACAAAATGTCTTATACTCTCAGTGCAAATATTATTCTGACATAAAAAGAAGTAAATTCTATTTGTAACAACGACAGAAGTAGTCATCTTAATGTTAAGTCAGATAAGCCAGGCAAATAATAAGTACCATAAAATCTCTCTTATTTCTGGTACCCAAAAATTTTGATCTTCTAGAAGTTGAAAGTAGAGTGGAGGTTACCAGAAGCTAAGAAATGTGTAGGAGGGGAAGATGGTAATTTTTTTCCCAATGACTATTAAGTTATAGTTAGATAGATAACCAGAATTTCTGGTGTGCTATTTCACAGTAGCATGACTATAGAGGGCAATGTTTTATAAATTTCAAAAACTGAAAGAAAGGATCCTGAATATTTTTGTCATAAAGACACAAATGTTAGAGAAGACAGATGTGTTTAACAATATTTAAATGTCACGTAACGTATACATATATCAAAATACCACACTGTACCCCATTCAAAAGTATAGCTGTTTTGTGTATCATAAAATGATGTTTATTTCAATCAATAAAAATAAATATTTAGGCTCAGAAACATAATAAACTGAAGATTTAGATTTTAGATATAATAAACATCATGGGGAACATGCAGAAATCATGTTTTATTTTGAGTATCTAACCTAATTATTTTACATTTCAGGTGTGGTTCCCAACAAGGGTCAGTTTCCCATGGCTGGTGAAGCCCAGGAGCAGTTTCTGTGCACTGGTCCAATGTGTCGCTATGCAGAAGACCTGATCCCCATGCTGAAGGTCATGGCAGGACCTGGGATCACAAAGTATGTATACCTCTTCATTTCCTCGTCTTATGTCCTGATGTTCAATTTTTATTTGCCATAGGTGTAAACTTCTAATCTACAAGCAATAATGATTAGATTTTTAAAATGAGAAACTCAGCAGGATGTGGTGGTTCATGCCTGTAATCCCAACACTGAGAGGCAGAGGATTGGATGGAGGATTGGCATGAGTTTGAGACCATCCTGATCTGTGATACCGTCTCAAAAAAATAAGTAAAATGTGAAATTTTATTTAAGTGGATACCATGTTTCCCAAATAGGCACTGTATTGTTGAAAATGTTTTAGTAACAAAAATTAATCAAAGGATACTTTTCATCATGTTGGAAACAGTGAATCTTTTGTTCACTTGACAATTTAAGAATAGGGGGCTGGGGATTTAGCTCAGCGGCCCAGCGCCTGCCTGGCAAGTGCAAGGTCGTGAGTTCGATTCCCAGTACCAGAAAAAGCAAACAAACAAACAAACAAAAGACAATTTAAATATAATGACTCATCTTACATTAAATTGAAATTCTTTCACTCTGCCATCTGAAACCACACATATTTTCTAGGCTCATATGAGGCATTAATGGTGCATAGAAATCTATTGCTCTCAAAAACTATTACATTTTTTAAAGCAGTAACTTAAAAGCATGCCTATTTCCAGCAAAATTGTGATCTCATAATCTTTACACCCAACTAAATACTACCATAACTTGCCTCAGAAAGGAAACTGTATAGAATATACATGTAGTCAGGGTTGACAAGGGAAAAGGTTTAATACAGGACATATAATTTATAGGATTATTTTATAATATTCACCCAAAGAAGAAAATAAAAAATAGTGTGGGAGACCTTTCCATGCACTGGAGACTTAAAGAATCCAGCTGAGATCCTGGATCTCACAGCAGTGTTCTGCAGGAGTCCAGCTGAAGACCTACAGCCATAGCAATATCCTCCCTGAGTCCAATTTGAGGCCTAGAGCCCATGACAATGTCTCGTGCAAGTCTGTATCAGGGATCTGCACTGAGAAGGCCAAAACATCAGTGGTGAAAGCTACAAAGTCAGCACCAGTGGGATTAAGAATCTGTGCCAGTAGGCTGAGGAATCTGCACTGGAGCCAGGGAGCAATGCTCAAGGTAAGGACCACAGTTCCCTCCAAAGACCACAGCCATTTTCAGTGACAGTAAGAATCCAAGCTCCTCTGGTGATGAGAACAGCTGAGTTCATATGGGGAAAATCAGTGTGACAAGCTTCTCCAAGAGAATCAACAGCACAACGCCGTCCTCTCCAGTTCTCCTTTTATCCTATTGGCAACAATCCTCAGGTGGGCCATTCACACCCAGCTCCACATTGATTCAGTTCAGCTCAGTGTTATAAGTTGAATATTAGTTAATCCACCACAATACATTTAAGTTTCTCACAACTAAATTTTCCTAGGTCTCCATCCAATTATAATCTTTTATTTTCTCTTAGTAACAATATTTTTCTTTTACCTTAGTATATAAATACTTTTACTGATAATGTGGTTCTCATCTTTTCTTACTCTTTCTCTCTGAATGCACCTCAAGTTATTATGACTTCATCATCTCACAAACACACACACATACACACACACACACACACACACACACACACACACACTTTATGTAGGTATATGAAGAGGGAAGTATATTGTTAAAATATATATTGAAAATAGACAAACCTTTTTTCTTAGCCTCATATTCCCTTTCCACTACCATATTTTCACCAAAATATGACCAGATCTTATACTGATATTTACTCCAAAATGCACAAGTTCTTATTTTCAGAGAATGTCTTAGTTTTTCATCTACAACAATCTACATTTATTCATGTACAAAATTCTACTTTTTTCAAATGTAGTCATATCATGTTCTTCTAGAACATAACTATAATGCTCCAAAATCCTACCTGAATTTCTTGCAACTCCATTTCCTACAGAATCACTGGCCCAGTGTCTTAAGTCCAGCAGTAGAGCTCTCCTTAAATTAGCACTTTTTGTCTATATAGCCTGCTTGTAGTTTATTGGCAGTGCACCTGTCCGTGTCTTTATCTCATAAGTAGTACACCCAACTTACAACCTCTTACAGATTAGGCTTCGCAATGTTTCTATTAAATCAAGTGTAAATTGAAGACTTACTAGACAAAAGTGGCAACAAAAATGATGACCGTTGAGAATGATGGTGCACACAAAAGCAACAAAAAATTTCAGGCACCAAAATTCTGAAAAGTTTTCTTTATTTTTCATGAGTGCATTAACTATGTCTGTTACAATACACAGTATATTGAATTATGAAGATGTTTGGGAAATATGTTGCAAGAAGAAAAATCAGAGACTTTGGAAAGAAAAGTATTATTAGTAAAAATGAGTGTGTGGTGGTGTGGGGAGGAAGAGTACAATGTAAAAATAACTTAATGAGCATTAAAGATTAAGAGAAAATTAGTCATGGGAGCAAAATGTGACAAACGTGACTATCCTATTTCCCTGAAAATAGTACCTAACTGAAAAGTAAACCCTAGCATAATTTTTCAGGATGCTTGTACTACAAGCTCTAATATAAAAATAACCCCCTTTTCAGATTGCCAGCCAAATGGACACATTTAGTATGCCCATTGCCACACATGACAGACATGTTGAATTATAAAATACTAACTTAATATATAAGTACATAATATTATTGACAATACTTAAAATATATAATGATATCAATTATAATAAAGTATTTGTAAACATCAAAGCAGGTACCTTTGTATGAGAGGCAAATACCTATGCAAACAGATGAACGTGGGACTTCTGGCCAAATGGCCAATGCGAGTACAGACACAGTTCATAAGTAATTTGCAGACATAATAAAGAACAGACATGATTGTGTCTAATATGAAACTTCATAATTTAGTGCATCATGTGTTGACACAATTACTTCACTCATAGAAAATAAATATTTCTCTAAATTTTCTGCCTGGAATTTTTTGGTGCTTTTGTGTGGACCATCATTCTTATCATTTTTGCTGCCATTCCTGTCTTGTAAGTCTTCAGTTTACACTTGATCTGATGGAAACATCGTAAAGCCTAGCATGCAAGAGGTCATAACTTTGGTAAAGAATTAATGGGATAAAATCACTGACAGGGGTGTTACCAATGCACTAAAAGCAGGCTATATGTACGAGAAGTGCTCATTTAAGGTGAATTCTACTGCTGGATTTAATACACTGGTGCGAATGGTTCTGAAGGAAATGGGATTGCAAGAAATTCAGGCTGGATTTTGGCGGTTTATAACAATGATCTGGAAGAAGATGATATGATTGTATTTGAAAAAAGTAGAATTTTGTATGTCAGATATAGGTTTTTATTACATTAACAAATGAAAAATATCTATACAGCTGTACATGAAAATCGAAGACATTCCCTGAAAATAAGCTTTTTTGCAACTTTCACACCAAAGATTAATATAATACATGGGCTTATTTGGGGGAAAATGTGGAAAATATATGACAATTTAACACTTGTAACTTGCGATATAATTATAAGTGATGACACATTAACTACTCCCTCCTGAAACAACTTTACACTTGAATGTTATGACTCATACTTTTCTGATGAAGCTTTTATGTTCATTGTTTTCTTTTTTCTTCTTACTGATAGTCCCTTTAACTCATTCCTTATATATTCTAGATTACTAGTTGCACTCTATCTACTCACTTCCCAGCATGACTCTTTGTATGTATACCATTTATCTAATTTGCTATGCACTGATGACTCTAAATTGTGCATCTTCAGTTCATTCTTGTTTAAACTGCAGGACTTTGTATTTACTGCCATAGTAATCATCTCGGATACTTAAATTCAATATATCTCAAATTGATCTTATTCTTTTTCTAAGCCTTAAGACACAATTGGATACCTCTATTGTTACCAAATTTCAATGACTGGGTGACAATCAATCCAGAAATTAAGGCCAAATTTCCTGTCTCTCATTCCTATGTCCTATTTATTTTAGCATCTTTGCATTTTTTTATCACCATGGTTAAGTTTCTAGTGTGGACACATTTATTTCTCATCTGGACTCCTACTATAGACTTCTGACATTTTCCTTCATCTCTAATCTTGCCCTATTCTAAACTCTTTTCTTCACTGCAGACAGAATTATATTCTTAAGTGCATATCTGAAACCCAACAAAATATCACTGTTTCTGGCACACAGTTCTGTGGGAGAAAACTCCATTATTATTGAAACACAGTTGTTAAGATTGAAATAGTATGACCATTGTATACGGATTTAAAGCAATCCTGATGAAAATACCATTAGCATAGCTCATAGATCTACAGAAAACATTCCTAAAATTCATTTGGAAACAGAAGAGACCTACAATAGCAAAGGCAATCCTGAGCAACAAAGACAAGGCAGGAGGTATCACAATACCTGAGTTGAAATTATACTACAAAGCTACTGTGATAAAATCAGCATGTTATTGACAAAAAACAGACTTAAATATCAGTGGAACAGATTAGAAAGTGCAGATACAACTATAAATACACTCAGCCAACTTATCTTTGACAAAGGAGTCAAACATGTTCACTGGAAGAAAGATAGTACCTTTAATAAATGGTGATGGAAGAACTGGCTTTCCACATGCTGAAAGCTAAAGTTACTCACATGTCTATCACCAAGCACCACACTCAAGTCATAATGGCATAAAGATCTAAATATTAAAACAGAAAAACTAAGTCTACTGAAAGTGAAAGTAGGTAGAAGTCTTGAAGACATAGGGATATGAGTAGAGTTCAAGAACAAAAAGTCAGCACTGGAAATACTTCAAAGAATCAACAACTGGGATCTCATCTTATTAAAAAGTTTTACACATCAAAAGGAATCACCAACAAAGCGAGAAGAAAACCTATGAATTGGGAAAAAAATTTAGCCAACTATCCCTCAGACAAAGGACTGATATCTAGAACCTACAAAGAACTAAAAAAAAAAAAAAGGACCACAATTCAAAGCCCCAATCCCAAACTGGGCATCTGAGATGAAGACACACTTCTCAGATGAAGAAATACAAATAGCAAATAAATATATGAAAAATGTTGAACATCATTGGTCATTTAAAAGATGTAATTTAGAACAACGCTGAGATTCCATGACACCCTGGAAAGAATGGCTACCATCAAAAAGTCAACCAATAACAAATTCTGGAGGGATTATGAGGGAAAAAGGAACCCTTCTCCATTGCTGATAAAAGTGTAGACTGGTACAACCACTGTGGAAAACAGTGTGGAAATCCCTCAACAAACTCGGATTAAAGGTCCCATTTGACCCAACTCTTCCTCTTCTGGGCATTTTCCCAAAGGAATTGAAAACATCATACCACAGTGATATATGTGCACCTGTGTTTACAGCAGCACACTTTGCTATAACTAAATCTTTGAAACAACCCAAATGCCCATCAACTGAAAAATGGATAAAGATGTGATAGTTTTTACACAATGGAGTACTATTCAGCTATGAAGAGAGATAAACTTGTGGCTTTTATAGGTAAATGAATGAAAGTAGAGAGCATGCTCATAAGTGAAGTACACCAGACTCAGATATGTAATTGTCTTCCTAGTGTAAGACACTGAAAAAGGAAATAAAATCCAAAAGTAACAATAGATAAAATGAAAGGGAAAGAAATGGATTAAAAGGAAATAACTGAGATGGGAGAAGGGAGAAAATAAGGAAGAGTAAATAAAACTGCATCAAAAAAGCAAAGTAAAAAAAAAAACTATTTTGTATATCTATATTTAAATGTAACTCTATCTGTCCATCTATTTATATGAGGTAACTATGATAATTGTACTACTAATTTATATTAGTTCATTGAAAGGAGCTGTTAGTGCTTATACTGTTTGATCATTTTTGCATGCATATATCTTTTAATCTGAGCCACTACTTTGAAAATAACAATATGTAGTATACCAACCATTGTTAATTTCCCATCATGTTGTTTTGAAATTCTGTACAGTTTTTTACTTTTTTCTCAATTTAAAATTAAAAAAAGAGAAAAAAATAAAATTGTGAAAGGATTGAACTAGTAAACACATGAAACAGCTTATTGATATTAGTCTCTTAAAAATTCTCCACAGGTTAAAACTGGACACAAAAGTACACTTAAAGCATGTGAAATTTTACTGGATGGAACATGATGGAGGCTCGGTATTAATATCCAAAGTAGACCAAGATCTCATTCAGGCCCAGAAAAAGGTAATTTTAAATAGAATGCACTTTATAGAATTTACATTTAGTCAGATTAAGTATGTTTGTCATCTCCATGGCATCAAACGCATTGACAGAGAAATACTGTATTTTAGGGCAGGAAAACTGTATTTCATAGCAACTGAAATAAAGTTCATTTTTCTTAGGTAAGTTGATAAAAGGATGTTAATCTTCTCCTGACAGGACAAGCAACCAAGAAGAATTGCTAGTTTTAATATGACTCAAAAGTATTTTCAAGGATTTAGCATTTATATTTACAAAATTGCATAGTTACTTTAACAATTTCCCTAAGGTAAATAGCTTTATCAGCCATATACTATTTAACTATTCCCATTACTTTAATTACTTTTATAGCAATTTGAAGTTTAACCACTTCCAGGTTCAATAAAAAGAGCTTTTTGAAATACTAACTGATATTCATATCTGAATATTTGTAAGGCTGAAACAAAATGAAAGTTAGAATATTAAACCTTGTTGAAAATATTTTATGGTTGATGTCCTTTATCCTTTGTTTTCCAATAAGACATGATATTTGTTTCTATTTTGTACAAAAGTAGACCAAGGCCTTGTATGTTATTTGATTGTCTTTTTAGTTTTACACCATTTCTCAAGCACACATTTACCAAAATAATTGAGAATATAGTACAAAGTTCACCAGTACGACCTATTACTTGAACAAAAATTCCTGTTATCATTACCATTATCTTGAATTGGTGTGTTTTATGTACTAGTATAAATATTTATATGTGATATCTTTGTGGGTGTAAGTTTTCTACTAATTTAGTTGACAGCAAAGATAGTGAAGAATATATTTGGCTTTGTGAGAAACTGCAAGACTATGTCCCACAGTTGTTGTATTAGGAAGAGACAGCAAAAGCAATACTTCTGATTATCTGGAATAACATAAATAATATTCTTCACTATCCTGATTGATGCATATACATATAATATATAATAAATACTACATATATAAATATTAAATGAGAGAGAGAAAGAGAGACAGAGAGAGAGACAGAAAGTAACGGAGAAACAGACACAGAGGGAGAATTTACAGAGATCCAGGTAAGAGTTAGTGTTGCTGTTTGAGTCCTAAGGAAATACAGGTCAGAATTCATTTTTATTTTTTCTATTAATAAGGAACTTACTGGAGAAAAGAAATAGGGAATACAAATGGGTAATGGGGAATGCTGATAGCTCCTGAGAGACAGGAGGTGTCCCAAATATGTTGTCCCAGAATTCCTTTCTTCACAGGTAATTTCAATCTTATTATTCACTTTATGCCATGAATTGGTTGGGTAACATCTACATTATTAAAGGTTATGTCTTACTCAAAATTTTCTGATTAAATATTAATCTCATCTAAACTATGCTTTCATAGCAATACTTAGACTGGTGTTTGACCAAGTATTTGAATACTATGGTATATCTAATTTGCATGTACTATTAACTAATACAATTTTGTTCTTTGTCTACTTTATATCAACACATCTCTTAAACCATAATTAATCTGCATATAAAAACAATAAGAGTGGTTGAGCAAAATAGTAACTAACTCACCAGCAAAGGAAATAGACCTTCCCTGGAATCTTAAGAAAATATACACTCCACTGGAACAGAAGTCATGTTTTGACCTATATCATGAGGAAATTGTGCAAGCAACCAACAGAATGCACAGGTTCCCACAGTTGTGAACTCACACGAGACTCACCTACATGTCATCCTGGATAGCCAATGGACTGCTTCCACCACTACTTAATTGTTATTGTATTAATAATGTGGAGAAAGGACCCATGTACAGGGGAGTAGGGCAGGAAAATGAGCACAGTACTTTACTTTAGTGCTCAGTGCCAGTACTGCCATAATGAGCTCTAGCCCCAAATATACCTAGCCCTGAGCAAATAATCATGGATAGAGATTTTAAACTTCCCCTGACAACAGAGATATGTGCACTGGTGAAACAGACTTATGTTTCAACCTAAAAATCTGCCACATATGCATAGGCCTGCTATACACCCAGCCCTTCAGAGGTCCCTGTGGCTATGAGACTTGGTTATGACTAAATTTGGCATCCGCTAGGCTGGACAGGATGCCCCAACTCACACTCCTCAACCTCATACACATTAAGGAGCAAGACTTCATTCTTTTGCAAATAAGACAGGAAATTAAGCACAGAATTGTCTTGGAATTCAATGTTGGGCTGGTAAAATCTAACAACGAGTGGATTTTAACGTTCCCAGTCCACAGGATCATACCTATGGATGGACCCTCTGAACATGGTATGTTGTTTGTAGACCTATGGCCCTAGGCAATTGCTTTATATCCCATCAATAAACACGTGTGTCACTGTAGTCATCTTTAGCTCTCCACCTCAGGATCAAGCAGCTCATTGCAGCATAGGTTTTGATCCTATCTCAGAACTGTCTTGGCATCAGTTGTGGTATCAGAGTATGATCTTGCATTGTAGAGTTTGTGGTCACAGAACTTCTCAACACAAAAACCCAGACAGCACTTAAGAGAGTAATTTTCCACTTAAGACAGGAAAAGTTGGGGATACAAGTTCATGCTTAAAAGCCTGGTGCTGGTCTCTCTATGTAAGGCTCAGAGCCAGGCAGATTGCCATGGTACAAAGCCACAGACCAGGGACTATGAATGCAGTATTGGTCAATATCTTAATCCTGAGCAGAAGCTGATGGTGACAGATTACCTTCACATTTGGAGAAGCACATAAATGAACATAAGTACAATCGAGGAAATAGAACATGTTCCTGGCCTGATACTGCAAAACTGTGCCACTAGTGAACTCGCAGCAATCCAGGTCTTAGAACATCATCTAATGCTGAAACAATGGAAATATTTCAAGGCTCAAACAAAAGCACTCAGTTTATAGTATTTTAAAAAATGAGCATAAGCAAACTCAAATTTTAGAGACCAAAATGGATTCCTAATCCTTATATATGCAGATGAAATTTTATATCAACATAATAAAAACCTTTCTAAGGGACACATCACTTCAGTAAAAACCAATATGAAAATACAAGGCTTGAAACAGACTCAATAGTAACTGTAACAAAGAAAGCTAACAGATTACTGAAACAATTTAATAACAAGCCACTAAGGTAAAAATGCACCCAGTGAAATTAAAAACACGATGGGAGACATCATGTCAGAATATATCTAAAATAAGGAAGAATTAGTGTGTCAAAGGCCAGCTATTCAAAATGACATTTTCAGTGTAGAAAAATGTTAAAAACCAAAAAATACTGTATAAGGTTATAAAAACCTGGAACAACATGCAAAGAATGAATTATCAAAGTATTGTGATACAAGAGGAACTTCTGAATGACTAAAGATTAAAAAGTATAATCAGAGAAAAAAACCACAAATTTCCACAAATCTATAGAGGGGGCAGATATTGAGGTACAGAAAGGTTAAAGATAATTAGGATCTATTCAATGAAGTCTATTCTGAGACATAATTAAGCTCTCAAAATTTAAAAATGAAGAATTCCTAAGGGAACAACTGTTATAAAGAAATGATACATGAGACTATTCCAATTCACCTGAGGGCAAACTCAGCAAAAGTATCTTAAAGGCTAAAAAATGTTATATGAGACATTCAGTGGGATTACAATTGAAATTTTGCCAACCAAGAATAGACTATTTAATAAATTGCTCTTTGATAGAAAAATTAAAGATATTACCAGAAAGAGTAAATTTAGAGGATTTACCACCCCAAACTTGCCTTGTAAGAAATACTAAAGAAAGGATGAAGAGAGTTAGTCAAAGAGAAGGAGAGGTTAATGAGTCAAATAAACTATCCATATCCATAGGAGGAAAAATTAAAAAACTTTTAAAAATAAAAATCTAAAATAAACTAAGATACAAATATAAGTATGTAAAATGGAGTATCACAAATTCACAATATACAGAAGAAAGAACTGCACACATAGAATTTTTATTAGAAGTTTTATCCCCTTATTTTCATTCATTTTGATAATTGTATAATAAATTCTTAGTTTTAGTCATTTCAAAATAGATTTTATAATCAAAACCTGTTTTGTAAACCTCATGCTGAACACAAGGTAAAAGTGATATGTAAACTGAAAACATTTTTTAAAAATTTATTTTAAAAATAAAAGAAGGAAAACATATTAACAAACAGACATCCATTTACAAAATAACATAACAAAAATACAAGCAATACTGAACTACAAAGTGGTAGGAAATTAACAATGGTTGTTGTATTCTGTATTGATATCTTCAAAGTGGTTTCTCAAGAAAACAAATAGAAATATGCAAGACTGATCAAATAATTAACCATTAACTGATCCTTTCAGTAAAGTGATAGAAGTCAGTAGTACAACTATCCTTTATATACATATAAAAATAATTTCCCCTTCTTTCTTTTCTTTTTTCCCTCATCCCAGTTGCTCTTTACTTTTGAGCAGTTTCCTTTCATTTCATAATATCTATCATACCTCCTAATTTTTATTCACTCTTTCAAGTTCTTATACTAGTGAGACAATGCTTACACATGGAGGTCTGATTTATTTCACTTATGAGTATGATCTCTAGATGTGACCATTTACAAATTTTAAGTAAGCAATCAAACAACTGGAGAAATCAATTAATCACAAAAGAAGATTCTAAGGCATATAAAAAGAAAAGAATAAACTATAAGAAAACTAGAAATCAAGTTACATAATGGCTGGTTTAAGACCTTACTTCTCAAAAATTACCTTAAATATAAATTAAGTGCATTGTTCAATTACAAAATTGTGAGTGACTGAATGAATTCAAACAGCAATTATTTTTATGTGGTTACAAGAAACTCACCTCAGTGCTAACAGCACACATATATTGAAATTAAAAGGACATATTAAGTCATTACAAGTAAGTGGAACTCCTCAAAGAAGCAAGAGTAGCCATTCTTATACATTATGAAGTAACTTAATAAAAAAAGACAAAGAATGTTATTATATGACATAT